CGAGCTATTGCCGGCTTATTCCTCCTCTCTGGTCGTGCTGATCCTCTCCTCTGCCCACTCTTTCTTGTCTTTCCTTTTGCAGGCTGCACCAAACAGCCCCTGTGTGGTAAGTGCCTGGGCTCTGTGTGCGTGGGTGATCCCTCCTGGCATGCTGCTCCTGGGCCAGTGCGAGCTGGGACCTGCCCCATGCTGCTTCCTACACCCACCACCCTCCTTTGCCCCATGAGAAGTTTGCATGGAGGGCTCCCATCTGCAGCCCCCTCTCCTTGGCAGGGCTGCTGCCCTTGGCAGGGCAGGCAGACCCCAGCCTGTCCCTGGCAGATGGTTACCATCATCTACAGGAGGCCCCTGGCAGCAGGCTGAGCTGCCCTAGCACAGGGGGACGGGTCCCCACCGCGCCATCATGGAATGCCACTTGATGTCCAGACAGGAGGTTGTTCTCCTGGGGCTCCCCTGGCTTGTGGTACTGTCCACAAGACCTGGCAGGTGTCCACAGGTAGTGGGGACAGCGGGGACAGTGAAACTTGACGTGTGCTGGCGTGGTGTGGGGTGAGGGCAGGTTTGGGCTGTGGGGTTGGCAGGCGTGAGGATGCTGCTCCTGGGAGATGCTCCGCTGCTCAGCACTGGCTCAGCCCTGTGGCACTGCCGGGTAGGGGTGTGCAGAAGGCACGAGCCGCGGTGGGACTGCTGACAGGGGGGCCTAACCCCTGTTTTCCCTCAGGCGGGAGGATGCCCCATCCTTGCATGGGGACAAGCCCATTCTGAGGAAGTTTGAGTAAGTAGAGGCATGCGTGTGTCTCTAGGCATGTGCTTCCTCAAGCTGGAGCCTGACCAGACCCTGCAGCTGTTCAGGTGCTGGGTGGGCAAAGAATGAGATGCAGGAGGGTCGCCCAACAAGTTTGAGCCCTGCTGGGCCATGGATGCATCCCCAGGATCCTCCTTTTTGGATCTGATTTTGAATGAGGGCTGCAGTGAAGTCCAGCTCCTCAAGGTTCTTGGGGCCAAGGGGTATCTGCAGCACTTGGCTTGTGCAAACTGGGGGCCGTGCTACCTGCCGCCTGCTGCAGCTTCCCCCAGGCCCTGAGCCCTGGTTGGTGGCAGCACCGGGGATGCCAGTGTGAGCTGCAGGGATGCTGAGCAGGATGCTGCATCCTTGCCACTGTGGTGCCTTGCTATCCGAAGGGCTTGGAGAAGATAGGGGGAGATGCAGAGGCGCCATGCAGATGAACCATGCAGGATTTTTTGTCCCCATGATAAGAGTCCAGCTAGTTTGTGCATGGTGCAATGGCCCACAGAGAACCAACCATGTGCGGGCCATTCAAGCAGAAAGCTGGGTGCTGCACGAGTGAGAAGAGGACCCTGGGTTTTGCTGGGCTCTGTGCCACGGTGTCAGTCCAGCCCTGCTGGCACCCAGACCTTCAGCAGTGCTGTGTGCATAAAATGTGCATCATGCCCAGCTGCCCAAGGGGGAAACATTGGCTTGGGACTGCAGGACATCCAGTATGTTGGTGCCGTACAGATGTAGATAGGGAGAGCTGTGCCTCTGCAGTGTGTCCTACCACCGAGGGTGCGGTGCTGTGCCACCGCTCTGCAGCTGGGTTTGTGCGTGTGTGTGTGCAAGGAGTTTCTGTGTCATCCCATAGTTTGGCCCAACCGTGTGTTCCAGGCTGGGCCTTGCTGTGGAAGTGTGAGGGTTTCTTGCAATGCGGAATGGTGTGGCTTGTCCCATGTTCCCCATCCTGTCCCTGGTTTGGTCTTGGCCAACATCTGCCTCTGTTGGGCTTTTTTTTTTTAGAGCTCGCTTTCTGGAGAACTTGGCTGCAGCCCAGAAGGAGAAGATCTCTTCCATGGCCAAAGGAAGACTCGATATCCTCAGTGATGCTACGCAGGAGCATCCTGTTGCTCTTGCTTGGGATGGGAACAGGAGCGCTGCTGAGCGTAGCACGGAACCACATGGCAAAAGTATGTGTAGGTCTGGGGTTGATGTGAATGTACTAGTTCTCTCTGGCCCATCAGCATCACTGGGGCCGGTCTTAAAGTCCCCTCTTGGCCCCAACTCACTCATGGTGAGTGAGCTGTTGTACTGGGAGGACATCTCTCACCTGTGCCACTCTATGTACCAGGGTCTGAGCCCAGTCTCACCAGGGAACCAGCCCCAACTCTATGTTTTGCCCAGCAGCACCTTCCTTCTCCAGACCATTTGTCTCACCCCTTTTCCCATCTTTCTGCAGGGTCCTGGGTGGGCCAGAAGGATACCACTGACTCCTGCAGTGCCATCTCCTCCGACACCAAGTTTATGCTGGATATGCTATACGCTAAAAGCTCCTCAGAGCCAGGACGGGAGCAGGTCTTCCCTGCAGGGCCAGTGTCCCCCCAACACCAGGACGAGACAGAGACGGAGGCTGAAGGAGGCTGTGTCGAGGGACACGGCCACCAGGAACAGGAGAGCACACGGCTTCACAACAGGGCTCCAGATGGGCCAGTTGCCAATGCCCATGCCCAGTTGGCACGTTCCATGTCAAACATTGATGTGGAGACGCACACAAAAGAAATGGAGAACACCCTGATGACACCCATTAAAAAGGACTCGGAGCCCACTTGGGAGCGCCTGGAGGCCTGCCCTGTGCAGCTAAAGATCAAGGACCTGGACTTCACTGACCTGGGGGATGAGGAAGACTTTGATGTCCTGGACACAGGGTCCATGACTAATGGCTCCTTCCTCCCTCATGGCATTGAGGCAGCGAGTGCTGGAGCCCTCATGGCTCCCCCTCCACCTCCCACCACCCCAGGCTGCCCTCCACCCCCACCTC